TATTTTTTGTTAAAAACAATTCCTGATTTCGAGCTCGAATTTAATTATACATTGTATAACATCCGTGGTAAGTACAGTTCTACAGTATTTTCCAAATAATGATTTTCAATTTAATGGCATACAACCTTTTGTTTTTCCATATCGTTTCTTCTAAAATAAGTGGAACTTTAAAAGCTTCAGTCACATTTGTTCAATGCGACCTTATTTCACTGAAATCAGTAAATTTCTGCGGCAATCATAGGAAAACTACAGTAGCCTTAAGGTCACCTTGCGGTCTACGTACACGGCATATCAAGTTTTTACAGGGCGGTAGAGTCGGAGTATAACTTTTTCTTTCCTGTGGTCACCGTAGATATCAACAAGCAGTAGCCAAACCTGAGTCCCAAGGCGGCCGTACGTCAGGTTCACGGTCGACTTGCGGCTTCGCTTGGATTTCATATGACCGCACCCTCCGCTCATTTGCGCCGCACCCAATATTTCCCACAGGCTCTGTCTGCATAGGGTGTGATAGGGTTTTAAAATTTAATTTTAAAATTTTCTTCGAATACTTGTGTTAAAGATAAACATAAATGCAATGAATATTGAAGTACGAACACTTATTTTTGTAATGAGACTAGCAAATTAAACCATCACCGAGACTGCATTCTTGGAAATTCAAGATGGGTTGGTTGAATTAGTTTTATTATGTTTTATTCAAATTGTTTGCATTCGCCTGATAGAATTAGCATTCTGTGTTCGCATTTAGCGCTAGACCTAATAAAAGAGAAAAAGTCACAAATCCCAGATTATTTCAAGTGTTAATAACGAATAAATGTAACCTGCATTCCATGTCTAGATAGGTAAAAAGCAATTCCGAAAATGCCGGCGTAAATATTCTATTGAAATCGTTCTTTACTATGGGTGGTATATACGTATTCTTTTAGTTCCTTTCAAATGATTTATTCGGTTTTGGAATGGAAACAACTCAGCATTTATTTTTTGATTCAAAAATGGCGACACAAAACTTTTGGAATGCCAAGGCCAATCTGGCATCAATGACGTCATAACAATGTCGTAAAGAACCACTTTACGGTTGATATGGCAGCTCCGAGGTCCGAGGTGGAATTATTACACCAAAAGTAGTGCAAAATGGCCTTTTCACGCGTTGGCATAAAGTTTTGATGACAATTAAAGACATAGTTCCTCTTTCTCGTATATTATCTCATGGAAATGGGCATACCAGCGCAAAGATCTTTGTTCCGTGGTGAAGAAAAGCCATCAAACATTGTCTGAAGAGCAAATTTTCCTCCGTAATTCTACTTTTAACATGGCGACCTTGACCTTGAAAAAATATAGCCATTTGGGCGATAATAGGTGATTCAAAAGTGAAAATGAGTGCTTTTTTCGTAGTTTTACTTTGACCAAGCCTAGAAAAAAATCGAAGTGGTAAACCTACCCCCAATTTTTGATATTTTTGTCGTTTAGAAGTGTCCTAGATGATATCAAAGTTTAAGAAAATTTGTATGTCTAGAAATATTTTATAAATTAGTGCCAATATGGTGGGTTTGGGTGCTTTTTTGCTCTCATTTTTTACCCCATTTCTACGGTTGCCATGGCAACTATTAGGCTTTGGTAACCATGCCAACTTGATTTTTGAAGGACGTCCACCTGATAGTAGTTGGGCCAAGTTTGATGAAAAATGGGCCTGGTTTGATATGCTGGCAGCGAGGTTGATTGTGGCATGTAGTAAAACGGCAAAACAATGGTGGAGTCATACCATTATTTTGCCGCATTTTGATGCTTAATTTTCAATTTATAATCGTTTGGTACCATCGTGACGTCACAATATAGCGTCTGACCTCATAATGTGGGTACCAAATTGAAGCGGACGTGACAAGCTTTAAGATGGTACCAAAGATGTGACCATTCATTTGATTAAAATGCTAACTTGAATAAGCCCAAAAGGTGTGTCACTCCCCTACCCCATCCATTTTTCAGGCCAGTGAAAAACACCAAAATCTCAAATAATCCAGGCATCTTCAAGGGTCGTTTTTTGGCCCCGTTTTATTCAAAATATCATGTTTCTGGATACCATTTTTATCAGAAATGTCTCAATTACCTAAAAACAGTTACACTAGTGCTGAATAAGAAAACATGTCTCCATTATTTTGCCGCATTTTGATGCTTAATTTTCAATTTATAATCGTTTGGTACCATCGTGACGTCAAAATATAGTGTCTGACCTCATAATATGGGTACCAAATTGAAGCGGACGTGACAAGCTTTAAGATGGTACCAAAGATGTGACCATTCATTTGATTAAAATGCTAACTTGAATAAGCCCAAAAGGTGTGTCACTCCCCTACCCCATCCATTTTTCAGGCCAGTGAAAAACACCAAAATCTCAAATAATCCAGGCATCTTCAGGGGTCGTTTTTTGGCCCCGTTTTATTCAAAATATCATGTTTCTGGGTACCATTTTTATCAGAAATGTCTCAATTACCTAAAAACAGTTACACTAGTGCTGAATAAGAAAACATGTCTCATGCGCCATGCGCCGAAGGTAAGCCATACAACCGAAGGTAAGCCATACAACCGAATTTTGCCCATTCAATCTGACGGAGAATGCCGAGTCCCTAATTTTGACCAATTAGAGACTCCCTCTTCACATTCGTGGTACCCTCGGCCAACTTCGTTTGCAAAGAAAAGCTTCGGCAATCTCCGGCTTTTCTTGAGGTATCTTCGGTTGCTTGCCAAAAGTCGACACCCTATTCAAAACCCGGGGCTCAATAACAATTAAGGGGATAATGATAGAACAATAAAACGAAGTTGGATTGAAAGATGTATCTTTATTCTAACTTATTATCAAGTTTAGGGACAAAACTTCGCATTCCCTTTAAGTCTAATTTGACATTGAATTTATTTATTGTTAACCTAAATAATCTATTCCGGCCATAGGGGTATTTGTCATTTTGAAATAGATTTTCATTAAATTAATAAATGACCCCTTGGGGATGAAAGGGTTTTTGCGCTCCCATCTTTAACTAAACGAATGGTAAACTTGTGGAGAATGTTCCTTTTGTGAGAATCCCCATTAATCGTATGAATACTCCTATTCGCGATAAGAGCTCAGGTGGTAATTTACATAAATATCTCCCATGATGCATCGCTTTGGAAGGGACAAATTTTCATTGGCTCGCCGAACGAGTCGAATACTCTAGAACGTTTCTCAGCTTCTGATCTTCCATTAGCCCCCAAGCATAGTTATATGACCCGATCTATTCAATAATCAGAAAGATAATCGGAGATTCAAAGAAACATTATTTATATTTTTTCGATCTTCGATGACGTCTGAGCAATTTCTGTGAAATCAGTGACGTCACTGGAATTGGACGTCGTTTTCAACTACAGATTTCTTCAGATTTGGGGATTATAGTTCAAAAAGCCTTGTTATATATCTTAAAGGGGCAATAAGGACTGTAGAGAAAATAGGAGTTTTTTCATTTTTTCTGAGCTATCAAGGCAACATCTTCTTTGACATACCTATTATCTTAAAATGTATGGATAAATTATCAATTTCAGCATTAAGAAGTGAAAATTCAGTTCAAAGCTTCAAAAAGGGGACTTCCACTTTTATATTTTTAAGACCCACCATGTTTCAAGAGAAATATCAGCTAAAATAATGTTTATCTAGGGGGTTTCTTTGTAGATAATAAAAATAGATGTTAGTCTTGATCAAAAATCCAAACTTAAATATAATTTGGCACTGGTCCATGGTCGTTGAATGATCCCTCTGCACTAAGTATTGCACCTTTAATAACATTTACATACCTATCATTTGTGCATATGCAACTCTACATAAATGTTTAATAGACTCGCAGTGCCTGTCTGTCTGTCTGTCCGTCTGTCTGTCCGTCCGTACGTCCGGCAGTTTTCTCCAAAACCGCTACAGATATCACCTTCAAATTTTCAGGGATAACTTATGAGTGCATACAGATGTGGATGAAAAAAATTTACTCGATACCTACTTCCTGTCGGCCATTTTGAAGTCAAATGTTAAAATCCTTGTCTGCAAACTTTAAGAAAAACGGCTTCACAGTTGCTTTTAAAACTTTAACATCTTGTTCAGCTCACTTCATTCTAGATCTGATTAGGTTTTGGACCTGTTAGCTCAGTCATGTCAGCCATTTTGAATGTTTTAAGAAATGTTAGCGCACGTTAATACTTTGTATCATATTGAATGGTGTTTTTCAGTTTTCATACTTTAACTTTTTAGTAGCTTTATAAATAATTTCAATGTTATTGTTAACAGTAGTTATATGTGATAATTTTGTAAAAAGATTTCAGCAAAAACTCATAATCACTTTTTTATTGTCGGCCATTTTGGATTTTTCCGTCCTAAAATCTTGTCTGTAAGGTCTTGTCTACGCGTTTTCAGGTGAACCGTTTGGTAGATCAATTTCAAATTTTCAGGGATGATTCTTAGTATGAAAATCTAGATCTAGTTTTTGGGCATTCTGGGTAAATGTCAAGGCAGCCATTTTGGATTTTTCGTCCCAAAATCTTGTCTATAAAGTCTTGTCTACGCATTTTCAGGTGAACCGTTTGGTAGATCAATTTCAAATTTTCAGGGATGATTCTCAGTATGTAAATCTAGATCTGATTAGTTTTTTGGCATTCTGGATAAATGTCAAGGCAGCCATTTTGGATTTTCCGTCTTAAAATCTTGCCCGTAAAGTCTTGTCTACGCGTTTTTAGGTGAACCGTTTGGTAGATCAATTTCAAATTTTCAGGGATGATTCTTAGTATGAAAATCTAGAACTGATTAGTTTTTGGGTATTCTGGGTAAATGTCAAGGCAGCCATTTTGGATTTTCTGTCCTAAAATCTCGTCTGTAAAGTCTTGTCTACACATTTCCAGGTGAACTGTTTGGTAGATCAATTTCAAATTTTCAAGGGTGGTTCTTAGTATGAAAATCTATAACTGACTAATTTTTTGGCATTCTTGTTTTATTATTGCAGACGCAACTATTACAGCAACCTAGAGATAGAGAATATTTATGGCCAGGAGCAGAATGAAAGAGTTCTCTGCTCATCCCTACCACAGGTTGACCTGAATCTCTGGAAAGAAACTCCTAAATATGTACGAAAAAACAATAAGGTCACCATTCTCAATGACACACCTAAGCGGTCGCTTCCAGTTTTAAGACAAGTTGCAAATAAGAAAAAACAGCTTATTGCAAGCAATTCCATCAAAAGGCAAATATGGCCTCTGACATCATTGTATAGACGATCAGCAATCAAACCTTACAATGCCTACTCGAGGATCAGACAAACATCTGTGTACAATCCCTGGACCAATCCCTACTATAGGTATTACTATTAACAGTATACTACTTGTAAAAGTGGTAAAGCTGAACACATGTTGAACATATCTTGAATCATGCTTAGAGCAAACACAAAACACATAATATGGTTAGAGGTTTATTAAAAAGATGAAAATGATTACCAATAAAGCTAAATGAATAATTAATTTAAAATCAAAGAATAGTATCAAGTTTAATAGTCTGGTTTGACATGGCACTCAAGTTTGAGAAACACTATCAATGTAGTCTGGTTTGATATAGCCCTATTCAAATTTGAGAAACACTAATGTACAGTCTCTCTGGTTTGATATGGCACTCAAGTTTGAGAAACACTAACAATGTACACACTGGTGATCCACTCGATTACGCTGGTTACCAAAACGAACAGTTTTGGTAACAAAATGTCGGAACGTCGAAGGTACGATTTTTCTTTTTCCTTATATCACGCGTTGTAAGCAGAATCCCCACGACGTTTTTTCTCACAAACGTATATCAGTATCATATGTTATAGAAAATGCACATGTTAAAAAAAATAGCTCAGAAGACAACAGAATCGTCGATTTAATTCGTCATTTAAGTTACATAAACGGTATGGGTTAAAAGTGCAGATCTTAACCGTTTTTCGAAAAGCCGTTTATTTAACTTAAGTGAGTAATTAAATCGACGATTCTGTTGTCTTCTGAACTATTTGTTCGCAAATATGTACATTTTCTTAAGCATATGATACTGATACACTTTTGTTTTAAAAATGTCGTGGGAATTCTGCCTACAACGTGTGAAATAAGGAAAAAATAGAAATCGTACCTTCGATGTTCCGACATTTTGTTACCTAACCAGCGTAATCGAGTGGATCACCAGTGGTACAGTCTGCTTTGAGATAGCCCTACTCTAGTTTGAGAAACACTAACAATGTACAGTCTGGTTTGATATAGCCCTACAGAAATATCCATAGCTTCCTTTGGTCTTATTATGGGGATATTTGTAAGGGTTGTGTACTCGGGAAATATTTATATCTCCCCTTGGTCCCTTCAGTCCCTCGGGGAGATATATCCCTCTGGATATACCCTATATCTGAAACCGACCGAACATAACTGGTGTATCTCACACTTGAGTGGGTTTGCCTGGGATAGATACCTTTTTCAAATGACAAGATAGGCCTATACTGTAAAAGCAAAAGGATCCGCAGGTCAGACCCCCTCTGATTTTAACTTTATTGTTTAGTTTCAACATTATTGCATAATTCAAACACGAAATAAGAGGGGGTCCTGACTGTGGAAGATATACAATGTGAAAGTATAGCAAATGTTTTAGTTTCAAAAAGGAGGCCATATTGGATCTGCCAGACATCAAGGCTACAAACTATCAGACAAGTATCAAATGGGTCAATTTATTTTTTATTTATCAGTCATGGACGCCTCTGAAGATGATATATTGCAGAGGGACTGAATCAATATCCATTTGATTATTAAAGGGACACTGTTTGTTATAGGTAGTTCTTATGCTAATGAACACTAAGATATTTAAAAAAAAGAATCAATCTACTTATGATTCATCAATTATGCCTACCTCTGGAGATGATATGTTGAAGAGACACTGAATTAATATCCATTTAGCCATTAAAGAGACACTGCTTGTAAGATACAGGTAGTTCTCACCCAAAAAACAATTAGGTCAATCTATCTTTGATCGATCATTCATGGATGCCATTGAAGATGATATATTGCTGAGGGACTGAATCAATATCCATTTAGCAATTTAAGGGATACTGCTTGTAAGGTAGTTCTCACCCAAAGAAACTAATGGATCAATCTATTTTTGATTCTTCATTCATACCTACCCCTGAAGATAATATAGGGACTAAATCAAAATCCACGATAGCCATTTAAAGGGACGCTGCTTGTAAGATAGTTCCCATCCCAAGTCACACTAAAAAATTTATAGTTCATAATGATTATGTAACTTACGCAAATGATAGATTAGAAAGTACCTTCCCTTGTTTGATAGCAAAACGATAGGTTTAGAAAAGAAACTATCATACGTGCACCTTTTTCAGTTTTAAAAGGCTATCTTAGGTTTTGTGTTTTTAATATGTTGCCCTTTGTGTCATACCTTTAATAATGATGTTTAATATGTCCTCTAAATTGAAAGCCTAGGTTAAACCTACTGCATAGCAACTGAGGTGATAATGGTACTTTTGCCATGAACACCTTTATTAAGATTCCTTGATATATTACTTTTTTGGGATTATTTCAATGATTAATGTTTTCAATATGTTGCCCTTTGTGTCCTACCTTGGTTATATTTTGATATATTGACTGATTGAATGGTCAACACACTTAATATAGTCATAAGTGAAGACTAACATACCCCTTACATGATATTTAGAATGATTTGCATAGTCAATATAAATGCACTGAATGACCTTATTAGTTTTAATCCCAGTGACCTAATTTCGTTTTGGATGTGTTCATAATTGATAAAAGTAACTAATTCCATGTTATATTCATTGAAACCTTTGGGGGCATCTTTAGGTACATGGGGTAACGGATCCTTTATATTTCTCATTTTCGTAACATTCCTTTTGTTCAATACAATGAAATTGTAATATTTATATAAACTTTTGTAATTGTAAAAAAGAACTGTTTACATTGCACGAAAGAAAGAACAATTATATTGGAAAAATTCCAGGGAGCGGGATGGATATATTATATCTGCCCGCATTTGGCCTGGAGCATCTACCCTCGGGACCCTCACTCTCGCCCTCGGGCAGATATATTATATTGGCCTCGGGATAATCCCAATATCCTGAACCACATATAGGATAATCTCTATGTATTCCCTACTTGATGAGGTTTCAGGGACATATCAACCGGGAATATATTCCATATCTGGGCTAATATTTTTCGTATGTCCCGCTCCAACAAGAATCTAGGATATATAAATTGTATATCCCGCTAAAGCTGTTCTCCGGGACATTTATATATAATATATATTAGGATTTATTTGTACTGATGCCCGTTTAGGGCCAAACGTACATCAAGCATACAATTTTCATTAACAGTAAAAATAGCAATAAAGTAAAGAAAATAGGATTACATTCTTCAAATGACATATAAAATGTTACTTTGATATAAGAATCCTGTCTCTACCAATCATTAGATAATTTATCATGTCAGCAGATTCTTTTAATATGTTAAACTCGCTCGTCAATAGAAAAATTGTTTTTTGATGGCCCATATTTCTAAAGTTACTACACAGGTTTTCAAGTTTTTCAATATCTGAATAAAGACTAAGTCAGATATGTTCAGTGTAAGTTTTATTTCTCATAAAAGCAAATAGCAACAAATTCCAGATTCTTAATGTGCCCAGTGATAAGTTGCATGAAATAAGTATGCAGTTAGGGCGTGAGTATGATCAGGTGGAAGTCAGGTGGCTATAGAAAAAAGCTTCAAAAGCAACTTTTACGCTTATGAAATCCCATACAACTTTGTAAATCCAAAGATTATACTGTTATGTTTCATTAATTAATAACATATTTGGATAATATGCAGGGATGTGTAGGATGCAAATGGATTTTGACAGACACAAAAATACTTCCTGGTTTGGCATCTCTACCCCTGTACACGTTAATGAATAATCACGGTGTCATAGCATGACGGTTACGTCAAGGCGAAATGCAAAATTTTGCGGTAACGATAACAAAAAATGGCGGATGGGAAAGGCAGCATGTCCTCTTTCTCGCCTGTAGGCAATATTCACAGATAATATTTCCTTTTAAACTAGTTCCATTCGATGACGTATATATGGATGGTTATAAAGACTGGGTCAAATCTGCCAGGTGGTCTACAAGAAACAGAATATCCAAGTTTTGGTCCATTCTCGTGTTTTCTCAGTACATGTGCCTCAGAGCCACTCAAGATAGTAAACTGTGTATAAACAAGGCATAAAATGACAAATCCAGAAGAGGAACGTGGTGTATATCGTAAATAATAAGGTTGCAAACGCAATGTCGTTAGACGACTACGTATGACTTCTATCGAATTCTATGGACGGTAGCGTATTGTATTAGATGTACATAAGATATTTAGCGGACGGTTACGTGCCCGTATATCTGTCAAGTCAAGGTTGCTAGATCTGATAGCCTCTTTCCATGTTATTGTTATAATGAATAAGAGACTGAATATTGAATTTCCTATATTTGTTTTCAGGACTCGTAAGAGACGCTCTTGTTTCAGCCTCTATAGGGCAAGGAAAAAACTGTCGCTTGCTTTATTTATGAAACCAATGAAAGTGTAAAAGATAGCAATGAAGAGGCAAAAGAAGATTAAGGATCAAGTACTGATGAAGATGACAAAATTAATAACAATGAATCGGGGATTCATATTTGAATCACTTTCGTGTAACCGTCCATCAATTTTTTACGTTACCGCAAATTCAAAATACATTATTTATGCTTGAGTAGTACATATTAGGTGGTTTCCAATGCTCAATTGGCTTTGTATGATGGTATGTAGGTTACATCTATATACCCCAAGATTTTTAGGCAATGTAGACCATGCCCTAACAACAAAAATAAGCAAATTACTAAATTTTGTGTAGTTTTGAATGTACATATAAATGTAATAATAAAAGCAGTATATTTATTTTGAAAAATCAGATGAATTTATTTTTGTTCATGGGGATATCATAATGGAGGGTGCACTAGATCCTTTCTTTAGTATCACTGTTTGCTCATATCAAGGGCGGACGTAATACAAAGAAAATGCATTGTTTGCAAATCAAATGTAGTGATAAGGCAATCGTAGGCCCTGGTTGTCATTTCGTTTAGTATACATATTATACTAAGCCCCGGGTATCAAATTGGCTTTTGCCTATTTATATTGTACGGAATAAACAAACGATCACATTTGAAGTTGTCATTTACCCATAAAAATGTATTCTTATTTCCAATTAAGGATTGGGATTTTCCAAGGGTTTGTAGAAAAACCCGGATACCGGGTACAAGTAAGTAAAACCTCCATGCTGGGTTCATACTTGGTACCCGGTTCCCGGTCGAAAAAAACGGGTACCCCAAAAAACGAAAAATACGAATATACATGTAAAACATAATTAGATCAATAGAAAACGTGTAAGATTTGTTTTGAATTTACAAAAATGTATGTAACTTCCTTCAAAATTGAGCTAGAAGCTTCAAATAAAAAGCATTTTAAGGCCTTTTTCTTCCTCTATCATCATGGTCATATTTTCATTGGTTAAGGGGGGAGTTGCGATGGTGCTACGCCTATGACATTGTAAGACGTAACAATTTACACTTCAGTGGACGTTTCGTCGAAAATTGGGATAACTTGAATTATGATAAATAATTAAAAT